ACCCAGAACAGCTATATTTGTAGTCTCAGACCAAAACACCATTTTTGGGGAAGGGGCCTCAGCCTTTTTCTTGGGGAAAATATACATGACTTTGGCATACTTTGGGAAAAGGGGTATCAAATTTAACTCAAACTTTTAACAAGTTCTTCAAAATAGAAAAGCAAAAAGGACTGGGAAATACTAATAAGGCAGTAAAAGACCTTAATTCAACACCATCATTTAATTTTGTTCTAAATTCTATGGGAAATTTCAAAATACTGGGGAATTTTGAGGACAAAAATGGGGGATAAAAGAGGCTAGTTTAGTTGGGGAAGCAGCCTATATTCGGCCTCTACAAAGAAGGGTTTTTTGGCCCTGCTTACACATAATAATTGTTTACAAATTTTAATATATACCTTCTCAATATCAGGGGCCATATTTCACATCCATAATTTAATATTGATAAAATCATTGTATCAAATAATAAAAATTGTAAGTATAACCCATTTGCTAATAAATTTTGAGTTGATTTTAATTTTTTGGTTTGAGCCTTACCTTCCAGTAGTGAGGGTAATTAACAAACCCAAACACACACAAGATCCTTACCATTTGGTCCATTTCCGGTGGTGAGGGTAACAAACCCAAACACACACACACGATCCTTACCATTTGGTCTCTTTCCGGTGGCGAGGGTTAACAAACCCAAACACACACAAGATCCTTACCATTTGGTCCATTTCCGGTGGTGAGGGTAACAAACCCAAACACACACACACGATCCTTACCATTTGGTCTCTTTCCGGTGGCGAGGGTTTACAAACCTAAACACACACAAGATCCTTACCATTTGGTCCATTTCCGGTGGTGAGGGTAACAAACCCGAACACACACACACGATCCTTACCATTTGGTCTCTTTCTGGTGGCGAGGGTTAACAAACCCAAACACACACAAGATCCTTACCATTTGGTCCATTTCTGGTGGCGAGGGTTAACAAACCCAAACACACACAAGATCCTTACCATTTGGTCTCTTTCCAGTGGCGAGGGTTTACAAACCTAAACACACACAAGATCCTTACCATTTGGTCCATTTCCGGTGGTGAGGGTAACAAACCCTACAACACACACATGATCCTTACCATTTGGTCTCTTTCCGGTGGCGAGGGTTAACAAACCCAAACACACACAAGATCCTTACCATTTGGTCTCTTTCCGGTGGCGAGGGTTAACAAACCCAAACACACACAAGATCCTTACCATTTGGTCCATTTCCGGTGGCGAGGGTAAACAAACCCAAACACACACACGATCCTTACCATTTAGTCTCTTTCCGGTGGCGAGGGTTAACAAACCCAAACACACACAAGATCCTTACCAATTGGTCTCTTTCCGGTGGTGAGAGTAAACAAACCCAAACACACACACAAGATCCTTACCATTTGGTCTCTTTCCGGTGGCGAGGGTTAACAAACCCAAACACACACAAGATCCTTACCATTTGGTCTCTTTCCGGTGGTGAGGGTTAACAAATCCAAACACGCACAAGATCCTTACTATATAATAATCAATTTACATTCTTTTGGTGAAAAATTTGTGCTTTAACTACATGTGCTTAATGCACATAACTGGTACAATTTATTTGTTTAAAGATATACTATGCTCATCTTTGAGTAAAATATTCTAATCGAAGAAATTTATTAAAACCTATGAAATTCTTACTGAATTTGTCTAATTTAAATAAAAAAAGAATAATAAACTATATTGGAAGTCACGTTCTCTAAAACAGGACAAGTGAAGTTGGTCTTTTCAACAACACTATATATTCATATTGTGACGACCTATGAGTGTAGCGTTTTAAACATGACATATTAACTTTTTGTGAATTTAAAACATGTTTATTTCATATTTACAACGAGACAGTGTAGCAATTTTCAATATTTTCTGATATCAAATTTGAGCATAGTATATCTAATGACATTATGGATGATCTTTGTATCAAATGCAGGATAATTGTGTCTGATAATGCTGCTGCAGTTGATTGTGATAAATGTGGGAACTGGCATCACATAACATGTAATACGTATATGTACCGGCAAGTTTACTTAATTTGTATGCAACGTTTGTAAGTAAGGTAAATACAAATTGTTCTTTTTTATTTATATTACATTAAGTGGATAAATAATATATGTATATTTTATAAAGCAACCGATTCCGTCGTTTGTTCGTTTGTTCGTTCGTTCGTACTTCCTTCCTTCCTTACTTAATTACTTAATTCATTCATTCATATTATTTTACATTCAATATTATTTATTTATTTATTTATGTATATATTTATTTATTTAGGAAATAAATATAAATTCTGAGTGCATTGTTGTAGAATAATGCACGGTTTGAGTTCAAAGCGTAGTAATATAATCACGAAGGCCGTTGGGCCTGAGTGATTAATTACAAAGCATTTGAACTAAAAACATGCATTATTATACAATAATGCTCGAAGAATTAATATCTATTTCGATTCTAACACGTCAAGAAAAAATATAATCATTATTTTAAAGTCAGACTTTATGTTTGGTGGTTAAACTGATATTTGTTTTCGCCTCAGTTTCCAATAGAAACGTTCGTTAAAGGCTGTGTCCCAGTGGGTTGGAAAAAAAATGTCGTTAAATCTACTGTGTTTAGAAACTTTTTGAGAAAAACGAATTTTGAAAACATTGATGAAACTTTGTTTGTTTATTTTATTTCACTCAATATTTTTCATGTGAAATACAAAGTATTAATAGTGAAATAAATGTGATATTTAACTCGTTTGCGACAATGAAATAGCGTTCTTGATTTGATTATTTTTGCACGTGCTGTTTGGCGCTACATTGTGATGTCACGTAAACAACACTTTAGACGTCTGTACAGCGTTAAAGACTGAATTAAACTAAAGATATTGGTGTTCGGATTCATTTTCTTAGTTAGACCATTTTCTTTCATTCTAGATAGTTTTCACAACAAAATTCAACAAAAAATTGTTTTTATTTATCAAATTTTTCAAACAAAATGGCGCCCTCAATGTGTCGGTTTGAAAATACACAGGGAGGTAATAAGAACAGTGAGTGCATTGTTGTAGAACAATGCACGCTTCCGGCCCTCTCTGTTTATACAGAAAAAATTATGATAGTGTTTGAATTATTTATTTATTTATTTTTCATACAATATTATTTATTTGTATCATAGTTTGGGGACCTTTCTGTTGAAAAAGTGTCTAGTTATTACACACTGTGCTGCAGAGTATGCCCATTGATTGGTTCCTTATTTCTGGGGTCACATATTGTGATATCAGGGAACGTGTTTTTATTTTTGACTATGATACAAAAGAAGGAACATCAAAACACTTGGCAATCTGATTTATACTCCAGGGCTACGCTCCCTCGTACAAATCAGATAGCCTCGTGTTTTGATGCTCTTTCTATTACTTATTTCACATACAATATTATTTATTTATTTCTTTAATTTTCATACAATAATACCATTTTAATCCAATTATCTAATCAATTATGAGATTACTGTTGAATAAACAACCAATCAACATGTTGAATAAACAAGGTGACATACAATAAAACACTTTACGTATATCAATGACCAATGGATGGAGAATTCTTGTTGGTCCCCAGATGGTCTGTGTACAAGCAAACCAATTTAGAACAAACAACGATACAAAATGTGGTATTAAGCAAAATTATTTATAGTTTAATGTTTTTTAGCAAGCCCTTAAGGCCAACATGAATGTAAATGATGTTTTGAATCACAGGCAGTAGTTAATAACAGACATGGGACTTGAGAGGCATTATGCAATAATTTTAACTCGCTTCAAGATTTGAATTGATATAATTTAATATGTGTTAACAAAATGATGTTGTTTATTATACATCTATTAAATTATACTTTTTAGGTTACCACAGAGGACTGAACAACAAAGCTGGCCAGGGAGGGAGCAATCCTTCATCAAGAGGCTATTAAAGATGGTAGGCTACACCATGAACCTAGTATCACAGGAGATCATTTGTCAAATTTGAAGAGCTTTCTATCAGTCACTAGACAAAAAAATATCTGAAATATGGGATTACTTCGATCATCATAAATAAAATCTTGGACAAAGTGGATGAAAATCATGGATGTTTATAAAAATGTGTTTTATTGAACCAGTAAACATGTACATGTACTGTCTGATTTAAAGAAATATGTGCTGATGAAAGTTCTAGTTAAAGTGTGAACAGGATATCCAGTGATTAACACTGTTGCAGAATGGACAATGTCTATTAACTTCTCATATCATATATATAAATATATATATAATACTGCACGTTTGTAACGTCGCTTTTCATTGGATAATCATGACTCATTTGTGAATGTGTGATAATCATACATAAAACGTTTGCATTTATATTAATTGCTCATATGTGATTTTTAAAAAGTAATATTAAAGTTATAAAATTCCGTCTTTTTTTTATAATTTTTATGCTCTATATTATTTGTATTTTATATAAATTATATATATGGTACGTATCCTCCAAAATATATAAGCGGTACGTTACACCTCCAAAAATGGTACGTAACCTCCTGGTACGTATCCTCCTTGGTACGTAACCTCCAGTAATCCTCTTAGAAATGTCTGTAAATTGTCCTTTAATTGAAAATTTTTTAATCAAATATTACTAAAAATAAATAAAATAAACACATAAAAGCATTATGTTTTTGACTTATTTACTTTATAGAAAAAAATTGGATGAGGGGTGAATTTAGTGTCTTACTGAGTGTCTTGAGGGGTGAAGTGTCTTCAAAATTTGAGTAGTGAAGTGTCTGGGGGTTGAAGAGTCTTGCCTACTAGATGTTGGTTTTAACCATTGAATTATCAGTTGCTACAGTATACATGTATATAATAATACCTATTGGGAAGTACAGAACTTTGTCAGTCACCTGCTGGACCACCTTATCATATTTTGTATTATACATAAGATATTACAGTATACTTACCGTTTGTCTGTATGAATCTTCTATTCCTTTGATCACAGCTCGTTCTTGTTGAATCTGACTGAGCTGTTTTCCAACATGGGTTTTACAGTAAACTTCCCGGTCCTGGGAACCATTAGCATCATTTCTATAGAACGTCTGCATTGTTAATGGTAGCCCACAAATTCTACATCTAAAACACGCTTTGTGATACAGAACACCTACATTAATCATCTGTTCTTTATCCCAGATCCTACGGTAACACCGATAGCATGGGTCCACGGGGTCCGGCTGGGGCTTGCGCTCATATTTGAACTCGTATAATGTCGCTCTTTCATAAGAAAACGAATATTTATAAGATCCATCATCGCCTCGAATTTCTTGCACTTGTATATCCAATTCAGGGTCTTCCATATTGTGTTGTTACCTTGTTTTGTGGCTAGTTGACGTAATATCGCAAATCAATATACAAATTCACTTTAAAAATAGGAACAACGGTACGTTTTTTAAGACATCAAACAAAATATATCCTCAAACCAAATCAATATCAATGTTTTAATAAAAGGTATAAAATACTTGGTGTAACCTGAATAAATATATTGTACAAAAACATTAAATAATCACAGTACGATATTTTCATGTGACCTATATTACCTGTCGCGTCATTAAGGCCCTGTAACGCGCTTATTTACTTGTCACCACACCTGTATAGGAATAAGGTCGTACAAGTTAATTCCCTTGAATAATTACAAGAAAAGCATTGATGCAAAGCATCAAAGGGCGTCCAAGCAAGAAATGCAGATGAACTAGTAGATATATGATGACAAGATATTCTTATAAACTTTTCAATGGTTCATTGGGTTTTACCAGAATTGTATATCACTTTTGAATGAACGGACGAAAGACATTGTTCATTATTTATAACTTTGATCGGCATGCTAGAAATTAGAATATTACTTGTAATTTCTTTATGATCGTGGTTATTAATAGCAACGGATATACATGTATACAATCATCTATAATCCATATGTGTAACGCATGATCAACACCATACTTGTGTAATTGTCCCTTATTATGTTATCGCTATTAGCGAGGACCCTTTTAAGGTATCTGTTCACACTAAGTAACAATATGACACTTGTTATATTACCATGTTGATCATGTTGAACATAATTGTTTATTATTCAATAAATGTAATTTCTATTTTAATAAAAAAAAATACAGATTTTATGAATATTGTATTCTTTTCTTTTTTGTGTGTGTTTTATGCGCTATTTTAATACTGAGTTTTTACGTTTACTACTATTTTAAGAATTCAATTGTCATAATGATCGACGATTATAAGTCAAAACTTAACTGGAAAAAGTCAGTAAATCATCTTTCAATATATAATATTGTTTATTCTTAAACCATATACATGTACATTTGTATTTTTCTTTATCATTTTTTTAAATTATCAATCAATTGAATAATTCATAAAATCTGATTTGTAACTTTGAATAATTCCTCGAATTCTTTATTAAACACGAATAACAAATTAAATAAAATGTTTTAAAGTTGATAGTGTCATATTAATGCCATAAAAATGTACATTTTTTTCTCAATTATTGTACATATTTATTGTTTTTATCTCATATATAGATAAAATATAACATGCGATTTGTGTTGTTGGTTTTTTTTTTCGAATTGTATGTTTATGTATAATAATAATCAATCAATTCGAGAGTTGATCTGTGTTTATTAATTATTGTAACCAAACTAAGTGACAAACATTCATTTTGAAAAAAAGCTTATTTATCTGTAAAATATTTGTTCTGTTCTGTAACGATATCAAACATCTACTCCAAAACCGGGAGAGACCGGACAATAAACGTGTGGTACGTACTATTCGCCGGTCATTAGTAAATCCCGGGAGAGACCGGGAATTACCAATAGGAGTACATCCCTCTATAAATAGATTTTCGGAATATTTAGGTCATCAACTCATCATTCTATTAACCTGTTAACAGCTTTCGGAATAACATACCATAATAACCCAGCTGTGTACTACAAAATGATAAGCAAAAATACCCCGAAGAGCGCGATTTATTGACGGAAAAGGTTATTTCATTTGAAAATGTTTGCATTGCGAAATTCTCCAGTTCACCATTAATTGTACATATCGCGACTAATTAATAATCAAGCACCCTCATACCGATCGGAATGATCGGCTTTTATTATTGGCAACTATAAAAGGCTCGAGAAGTTGCTGTCGCCCTTTCACAAAATCTCATTTCATTCCAATAGGCGTCCGCGCCGAACGCCAATAATTAGTGTCCACGGAACCATCCGACAGGCTTCGGGGCTGCAGCCCCAATCCCCTCCAGCTCAGCCCGAAGATATGTTTTCGTTTGGCAGCTTTTTTACTGTACTGGGATCCTACTTATTACCGGATAAAATCTGATGTTTTTTTATCTGTATGTAACTTTTATTTAAAATAATTAAAAAGAAATGTGTCTTTAAAGTAGGGAATTATAAGAGAAAAAAATCGTGTAGACAACTCGATCAATTTACCTGACATATTGTGTTTCAAAATTTTATGAAGTCATGAATTGAAATAAATCTTTAAATAATCAGCAAGGAAACTACGACTATTGAATGGCAAGGTTAAGATACAGGGAAAAAAACCAGTATGTCACAGCAGCCGTTACGTTTCGAAGATGCCAATATATAAGGTGCAATTGAAATTAACACTATCAACTCAATTAACGTATTGAGTCTTTAATTATCATCCTTAAACGTATGGAACATTTTTATATTCAAATGGAATTCTGTTCTTTGTCATACAGTTTCCTTTTGTTCATCGTGTACATGCGTGTAGCAAGTTACAAAAGCCATCAAATTTATTTTATGTACAATTAATTCATGTAGAGTTTCATCCTATGGGCGTAACCCGTTTCCTTATATGTTTTTCATTCTACATTTCCTTGTAAAAGTACTGTTTGGACTAAATTTAAAATTCCTTTTTATCATTAAAATATGCTATGATAACGTTGAGAAGAATTAAACCTATCTAAATTAACCCATTAAGGGTCTCAATATTCGGGCATGCGCAGAACAGATTATTCCCCCGCATGAACAGGTCATGAAATAACTAGTAAACAAAAGGGCATGTTAGTAGATAAAGAACTGAATCAAAAATATTTACCTGAGAGTGGTTTTGCTGTTATTTACTTTGAAATAGAAAGTGTGTGTACGATTCAGACTGTATGATTTTTTAATCGAAGCAAAAAATAAAGCACTATTCGGCAGGAATAGCTTTTGTCCGGTAAACTAGCTGATTGTCCGGTAAATATATAGCTAGGATTCCGCTAGATATGTAAAATCAAAGCACAGAAGGCGCTGAATTTGTTTGGGTCTCAGAATGTCAGAGAGGTGAAGGTTTGTGATTATAAACCAATTTGTTTTTGTATAGTGCCACCAATGCTTTCCATTGCTTTAACTGTAGTAAATTGGCTATAAGACTAATTGCAACACTGATATTCAATTCAATGTTTATTTGACTTAAACAATTTAAAAAAATGAGTTGACCTTAACTGGGATTTGAACTCCAGACCTCTCGATTCCTAAGCGAGCGTGCAAACCCCTCAGCCACGATGAAGTTATATGTACACGGCCTGAAGAAACCCATATTATTCTAAATAAGGGTTTGTAACTCTTATTATTTCGACGTTAAACCTGTTGTTTAACACAGATGTAAATAATCATGGAACTTACTATAAGCATGTAAATCTATAAAGAATAAAACAATATTAGAAATCTTCTACCATTCGGGAACTATTTTGCTTGAAAATTAATGCGCCTGTCATTTGACAATCTTTACGCAGTATCTCCCCTGAATTTTTCGGCGTTAGAGTACATATAAAGGGAAGTAACCGCTTCAAAAAAGCGGACTACTTTCGGCATTTGCAATTAACAGCATCAGTGTCTGAAATTTCGCTACCATTACATGTATTTGTTTGGTCTGTCCTCCCGGACGATTCCCCTTCCATATTATTTTCACAACCCGGACATTTCCCCTCTCGTCATTTTAATAGGGTGGACTTTTCCCCTCCCGTTAATTTTACAGGACGGACAATTCCCCTCCCGTTATTTTAGCAGAGCGGACAATTCCCCTCCCGTTTTTTTCACAGAGGGTAACGTGACATTATACGGCCCTTAATCATAACCGCCACTGTGTATAAAAAAAATATAACCATTCTTATTAAAGAAGACAGTTTTTTACTCTTAACAACAAACTGTTAAAGATCGGAACTTTTAAGAAGCATTATTTCACAAAAGAAGACATTATTTAATCATTGCAAGATAAACAGTCAATAAAAAATCTTTAATCAATGATGCCTTAATTAAATGTGTCCTTGATTGCAAACCAATTATTTACAATTATTTTACCGCTGCAGAAATCACGGTGCATATCCATATCGGTACCCTCTTTGCGAAATCTGCTCAAACGGTACCCTCTTTAAACATGCACAGGTCATTCTCTGCTAAAAACAAGTCAGCGATTGATAACAATCAAGTAAAATTTCATTGTAATAACAGTGTGGCAATACCACGTGACATTGACGTCATTTTCGGCATCATTTCCAAGACAAATGTTGCTCGATTCGGAAAAGAAAATAGCCGTAACTATTTTATTTCTGTACCAATTTCTTTGGGGATAATGCACCAGTCTACGGGGGGAAAAATATAAGCTTTCCATAGAATATTGGATCTTCGTCAGTTTATAAGCCGTTTTTTCAAAACACTTTGCCTTACCTTGGAAGTTGCTTGTATTAGAGCGGGCTTCAGTTGCAAGCTATTTCGTTTCTGGCGTTATCTGGTCTACGCCATGATTAAAAAGTCAGATTTACATCAACCGGGAGTACGGAAGGCAAAACTCTACCTAAATATGTTCATTGATTTTTTATTAATGAATGACATAAATCTTACATTTTTCTTCAATTGTCAATTCTGGCACCAGTTCTAAGTCGAAAAAAAGGAAAGGACTACAGTTTAAAAAGCAGATTTTAGAATCCGTTGCAAATGCAAAGCAACATGCTACCGTTCTTTCTATTATTATGTTAACCATGAAAAACATTTTATTTACTTTACGATTAACATAAACACAAATGAATATTTAAATGATTTTTACTCGCTGCGCTGTAAGTGATTTTAAAAGTCGTAAAATGTGGTCTGTATATGTAAAGAAATTGATTTGCTTAGCCTTTCACGGTAATGATTGTGAAAAATCTATTTGTGTCATGTAGCAATACTAAACGTGGAATAGAAAACAGAAACCCTAAATATCGCCCAAAACGGCAAAATTGGAAAATGTTTCAGGCTCTGATTGACTTAGCTAGCCTGTCCAATGAACGGTGCACACTTTAGGATCACTTCGATTTGTATGCTGTGAAAAGGGTTACGCCTCAACGCGGCAATTTTAAAGTCAAATGTTATTCTTTTGTAAACAGCCTTTGTATATATATATAATTAAAGAACCTGTAGCAATCTTTTAGTATGATAGATTAAGCTTTTTAACACAGTGGCACTCGTTGATAAAAATATTTTTACAATCCTGTTTCATACCCACGGTAACCGTTTTTCGTGAACTGGATATAACTTCGTTACTTAAGAACACTATTAAACCCTATCTATTTTATAATTG